GATGTTTCAAAGCATAAGCCCGGTGAATAGTAAATGTGACTTTTTTGAAAATAAAAATCAAGAGTATTTTCGTTGACGATGAAAGGAAAAATTTTGCGATGACTCGAGCTAGATAACGGTATTATTTATGGAATTTTTACAATCCACCTTGAAATTCTGGTTGTTTTTCGCTTCTCTTCGTGAGAATTTTAGTGAATATTCATGTAACTAAATAACTGTGATGATTTATTTGAAGTTCATATACACGCACAAAAATTTCCAAATCGACGATTACAGATGGTTCTTAAATGCACGACTTGATGGTTGGTAATCCCATTTAATCACACGCTCGAGCGTCCGAGCAGTTATTGTACAACACCTCTCTCAGCGCGATATAAAACCACAGCGCAGAGAGAGAGAGAGAGAGAGAGCCGGCGATTTTATTGGGAGTTAATGAATGAATCTCGACGTGTGGTACACCATATACTTGGTGAAAATCAGATTAACTGCTTCGGTGCTCCTTAGCTTGTATTTGAGTGTCAGTGAATGACATCTGAAAAACAATCGCTTGGAATAAATTACATAGTGTCGAGACAGAAAAACGAGTGTTTAATCGTGCAATCAAAGCGCACCAACTGGTGAGCGCTCTTATCAGTCCCCGGAAATCTCGAGAGAGAGAGAGAGAGAGAGAGCCATCCACTTTCGAAATCCCCCCTCCGCCAGAAAAAAAAAACTCAGGCACCCTCTTTTGACTCCTCGAGCACTTTCTTCGATATATCTCCGTAATAGTGCAGGTGCTAGAGACTGGCCCATTCTTAATTGAATTAAAGCATTTCGCCACCTGAGGGCATATAACGCCTTTTTTTTTTCTTTCGCACCCTCGTGCTTTTGCTTATTCTTTTTCTCCGATGGTCAGCGTGTATAGTGTACTTACGTGCTTCTGGCCTGTCCCAAGAGAGTCTTAGCGCCCTTCTACAACACAATGCTCCTAATGTTACGGCTCCGGTTTCGACATAATTTTCTCCTGGCTGCCTGCTTCTCTTTCTTGCTACTATCGCACACACAAGCGCCGCATTGGGTATATCGAGGAAATGCCATTTCCGCTTTTGCTGCTCGACTGATTTAGGACTGACGAGAGCTGATTAGCCGCGTGTGTGAGATTTTACGTTTTATTGAAACTGTAAGCTAAAAAACAAAGTAGTTCAAATGAAAATGGTATCTATGTTTTACACGATATAACAAAGCAAAAAGTGTTTGTTATATACACAGTTCAACTCATTGCCGTTGAAATTTCATGCGAATTACAGATCAGAAGCGCGATCGGCTTTGAAAGAAGACGGCCAAAAAGCGATATCGACACGCTTCCGGGACAACTAGTTCCGTGGACGGGTCCTTCAAAGAGCCGTCGCAAGCAGAAGCGCAGCTAGCAGCGAGAGCCCGTCGGACGTGCTCGGCAAACCGATGAGAAACTCGCGCAACGACGCGAACCTCGTTTTTCTTTTTTCGAACGATGTGGCATATAACCTTTTTTTCGAGCTCTCTGCCCATTAGAAAAATGTCGCGTGCAGTCTCTGATGAACAACTTCGATGGAAAATGAAAACAAGCGCGGAAAGAGAAGGCACGTAAGATGGACATTTGAAAGCAGTGCCGAAATTAGCGGCGAGTGGCCTTATTAAGCAACTCGCAGGCTTATAAATAATTCTTTGCCGGCTGCACTCGTAAATTAAACTTTCAAGTCGTCGACACATTTTATTTCGGCAGGCGAAGAGCTCTCTCGACCCCCACGTACGAAAGAAAAAATAAGAGAAATTAAGCGTGTCCACGTTCTGTCTGCTATGAGCGCAATGTGTAGAAATATATACTCCAACTTTGCCAAAAGGAACGAAGGGTAATCGAAAAGGCATCGCTTGCCGATAACCTCGTCATGGTCCTCTGCTGAATTATTGATGGCACAGTAGCACTTGCCAACCCCCTGATCCTATATACACCTGTTTTTATACATGAGCTTGCAAGTATGCTTAGGCTCTTTTCTCATGCTATCAATACAAAAAAAAGGCGCGAGGTGTTTTACCTGACCGGCGATTGTGTCTATGATTAAATAGCTGTCAGTCAACGCGAACACTCGTTCGCATATAAATGTAATATTTGTAGTGAATAACGAAGAACGATCTACTTCTGACGGAAGAATTTTTTTCTTATCAAACGAAACCGACGGACAGACTAGGCGTGGAAAAAGGAAGAAGCTTGAAAAGGGTGGGCATCGTTCGGGACCCCACGGGAGTCGCGAGCTTGCGCCCAATTTCAACCAATTTGACCGAAAGTTCGGCTTAATTTTATTTTCACACGCCTGCACATGCCGACCGCGTATAGCATATATACCTAACCCGCAGTGGCGTTTGTGGATCGACTTACCTCAGCACCTCGAGGGAGAAGAAATTTTCGCTCGGGTGTGATGGCAAGAGAAAGGCCGAAGTCCGAGGGAATTGATCGATTCTGTCTAGTTTTGACCTTTGATGTTTAGTTGGAAATGCAGTTGGCCGCTGCGTATAATTGTAATCTCATTTTGCGGATAGTATCGGTCGAATATCTTCCTAGTGATGGACGCAAAAAAATTTGTTATTAACAATACATTCATAAAACGACGCCGATATCCCTGTCGCCTATGTATTTTTAGAGATTTGCCTTCTGCTTGCGGTACTTCACTTTTATAGAACCCTCCCCGCGAGTGTGCGGCGCGTCGCGCTGCGTCGTCCCTGGAGAGACATTTCAATCAGGAGACAACCAACTGTACGCTTTCTTTCTCGCTTGAGATTCGTCTTTTTCGCTGAATCGCTGAAATTAATCCGCTCCAAGCGTGTCAAACCATCGGCTTGCGGAAGGTAATCGAGCCAGTAAATCGTTTGAGATAAGTATCTTGTACTGTTGTTTTATTTTCGAGACTCGGAGAGTTGGATTGTCTTGTGCATTTGTGTGAGACTGATTTATATATCTTCTGGCGGGTTTACATACACTACCAGTCTTACGAGTTAAACTAGTTTAAAAAAGGTTTTTCCTTGAATAAAATTATCACTTTACTGACAGGTTGAAATAAATATTTTCAATAAAAAAACATCTCGCGAGAAAAACGCAAAAAGCCTGGCGCATGTAAAGGCTAAGGAAGCGAAAAGTTGCATTGGCTAGATGCCTAACGTAAAGTGGAGAGGGAAAGTGGCTTTCATTGTCCCACGGGGAGAGTGAGAGCGTAGATTCGGCAAGGGACACTTTTCGTGCTTTCTCCCACTCACCCTTACTTTTTTTTCTTATATTCCTACATGTCTCTTACCAGTTTCATGCTGCCGCTGCCTGTTGTAGTCTCATGACCGACTGCTGCAGCCAGCCTGTTCTTTTTTTGTAGCCGGCATCTCATGCCAACAACGTGACTTTATCTGATGCGAGTTGCTTTGCTGCTGCTCAGCGAGATGGATAAACGGTTGACGAATTATTAAAGCTGCTTGTGTTCATTATTCATCTTAAAGATGCAACAATTACATTTTCAGCGTCGGGGTTTTAAATAACATTTATCCATGAGAATTGCAACTAATAACAGTCGTAGATAAGCATCGACAAGGTTTTGTACGGTGATTTAACAAGGCACATTAAGCGCATCCCCATCCCTTTACATCGTGCAAGAAATCTCGTGAGAGAGAGGCACATAAAGATATCTCTGGCGCCATGCACTACACCTTATTTCCTTTCTTAATCTGACCACGAGTAGTAGTCGTTCGCGGATTCCCAGGGTGCCTTTTCTTTACGACTTCTCCCAAAAACTCGACGCGGCACGAGCGCTCGTTTTACAGTCGTTAGGCTTAATGAGTCGCCAATAAAAAGCCATCTTGTTTTTAACCCTTTTCCCTCTCTATCCCTTCTTCCGCTTTCTCGCAATGGTGCATTTAATTATACTACCTCGTTTTTCTTTCTTTCTTTCCGAGCGGCGCATCGCGAATGGCAACGGGACACTTGGGGGATATATTTGAGAGCGACGTGACAGCAGCCGCAAAACTCGGAATCTGCGATTTCTCTCTTTTTTATGGCTTTAGGAGCCTCCATTTTTGAATACTTTATTTGCTGTGGGATAGTCGTATCATCGTTCTGCGCTCAACTTTAGCATTGCCGATTGCCAAACGAATTTCTCAAACGAGATCCATGCAACTGCCTACCCACATGTTTTTCATTGCTATTTTCACAAGTTTCGTCGCTGCCTTTTACGCGTCAATAAGTAATCAGAGCGCGAAAGAAAAGGCGAGGAGAGCCAAGCAAGAGTTCATCGCACGCAAAGCAGACAGCGTCGTTTAGCCCGGTGTGCATGTCGCGCCACGTTTTCCACCTGGAAATGCGGGTGCGCTATCTACAGCAGTATGCACGGGGGTCGCGCCGGGCTCGCACCATTGGCTCGATAGTAGTTGAGGTAAAACCGGAAGCGCGAAGTTTGGGCGGGGTAGGCGTGGCTGCCGTTCCGCTGCATTCGATCGGATGCACTCTCTCTCTCTCTCTCTCCCTCTCACTCTCGTAGCAGCGCGCGCATAAATGTTTGGGAGCCTGATGGAACTCGATTGAATAATGCATGGCTACTTAGCCCGTATACACATCGTCGGGCAAACGACCATGCCACGCCTACTTTGCTGCCACGGTCGACACACGTTGGCCTTTTTCGAAAACCTATCCGTTCAGACCTTGATATTGCAGAATGACGATGATTTCGGTGCTGACGCGCTGTGCGTCGCTACTTGCGACGATCAAATTTCATGATGAAGGCGGCGCACATTTGGCATTATGCGCTTGGGTAATTAAATGGATTATTGGGTTCCGTAAACAAATTCACAATTTTACATTTTTCAGTACTAATAGCTCTCTACGGTCAGTCATCACCGATACAAACGAACAAGACATTTTTTCGTGATGAAAGATACACGCCATTTGAATACATATCACGAAAAACTATCCATAAAGATCTAGCTGACTGTGGTCTGTTTGTTTATTGCAGTATTCTGGAGCTGAGGAAAGAAAAAAGTCGAGACGCAGCGAGATCGCGGCGTGGAAAAGAGAACTTCGAGTTCTACGAGCTAGCCAAAATGCTGCCCTTACCTGCAGCGATCACCTCGCAATTGGACAAAGCCTCGATAATAAGACTTACCATATCCTACCTCAAATTGCGTGATTTCTCGGGTCACGGAGATCCACCGTGGAGTCGCGACACGCCACCGCCTAACAAAACCCTCAAAGGTTAGTCTCTCTCTCTTCTTCTGCTTTTTTTTCTTCATTTTCTTTTATTTCACGTAATCGGGAGGAAAAGAAAACAACAAATGCGAGATAAAGATACAAACAAGAAAGCCGTACATTAGATTCTTCTCCTTAACAGAGAAGAAAATAAACCATATCGCGCATCCCGATCTAACGAAGTTGTTCTACGCGAACAAGTAATCGCTGGTTGTATAGTAAAGTGTTGAAGGGAACACGAAAAGAGACTTGTACTCGATTGTCTTTTATATACATCATTATGACGTGAATACGCGAATGATGATCGACGAATTTTATGCGTATTATATAGAGACAAAGCTTTGCGCGTCTTACTCATCGCTCAGGAATTTTTTATTTTGACCGTAGATCGTCCGCGCAAACGTTTTATCTTATCGCTTGATCTCTCTTTTGCGGCATTTTTCACTGTTTTTTGGCAGCTACATTTCGCGATGCAACGGTGACAAACGTTAAAGAACTTTGACTTTTTTCTCTTCGCATTTACGGGTCTACATGTCTACAGATTTCCTGAGTCATGCGCGCGATTTCTGACGATTGATCGATGACTAACACCCATTGTTTCACTCGAACTCCTCATTACCGTCTTATATTAACCGCCAACAAACTCAGTAACTAATTGCACTTGTCTACCTAAATTCTGCATATGAGATAAGTCTCTGACATATTCCTGCGAAACCGTACAGAAGAGAATTAGTTATTAAGGCGCCAAAAATCTACGGCGTAACCCAACCAGTAGCTAAAGTTGGCGTATACGTCATAGAATCGAGATGCTAATTTCTCAAAGCCTCAAGTCTAGATTTGATTGCTCGAGCACGTAAGTCGGTAGTCGTCACGATCGGCAACATTTTGTATAAAGAAACGAACGTGACATTAACCGTCGTCTGCTCCAACTTTTACCACGTATACATAACGCGATTAAGAAACACCGGGGAGTTTTCGTTGTTTTTATATGACGCATCAAATACTTTTCTCCTGAAAAAAGGGTCAAGTAAATGGATTTCGTAAGTGAATTTAACCGAAACAACGTACGTCGATCGCACGTCGAATACACGAACGAAGCAGTTTGTTTTTTACCTCGATACGTCAAGTCTTTGCGTGACAGTTTTTTTCCCGTTGATTTGAGCAGCAACGAAAAGAAAATTGTATTAACTTACGCAGATACGCTTAAGCCGTCAAAAAAGAATATAATTTGGGTGGCGCGTACTACAGTGTGTTACTGACGTGTTCATCGAGCACGAAACGATTGGCCTCTTATTAAACGAAGAAGTCTGCTGATGTCGCTTGATGGATCAGAATGCAGTCACGATAAGAATTGCTTAATCAAGCTGTTAAAGTCACTCTCTCTCTGGAAAATTTATATAGAGAAAGATCGGTAAAGATACATAGTAATGGAAAATTGTCGCCAATCATTGAGAGATACGATCGTTGCGCGAGTAGCTTTCTCTCTTTTATTTTCGTGGTTCATTTGGCGAGAATAGAGGGTTAGCCGGACACACAATGCCTTGGACTCGATCGAGTGGAAGGCTTTTCAACTCTGGCATATATATGTAGGGTCAAGCGATTCGCGAGGCAAGTTTCTACGTGACGAATGGATTTTTTTTTCTCGTTTGAAGGGGTTGCGGATTATTTTTTTGTGAAGTCATCGGGCTGTTAAAATTCTGATTACAATTTTTATCCGAGCGTACAAAGATCGGAAGCTTCGAAACTAGAGATGCAATTTTTCTTGTTCGTCCAAATAAAATTGTATAACAGAAAAAGCCAACAATCATCGCGAAATACCAGGCGAGCATAATCAATGAAGCGACGGACTGGAAAATTCGGTGTGGTTTTTTCACCACAGCACACAATCAAAGAAAGCTTGCCGTACAAGCACTAATATTTACCGAGGTTAACGTGACGACATATAGTACGAGACTGCATATATGACATAGGCAACCCACATGTAAATCTAATCAGAGCCACCCCCCGCCCCTTTCACTCGCAGTAGAGCGCGGCTGTCTGTAACTAAACTAACGGAATTGAGTTAAGTCGGCCTCGCATGCGCCTGCCTGCCGCAACTTCTCGTCAAAGTAAATCCAGTCAACGCAAGTCGAGCGCACTTGTCTCGCTCTCTCCTCTCTCTCTCTCTCTCTCTCTCTCTCTCTCTCTCTCTCTCTCTCTTTCCATGCGCGAGCTAATGAACGAAAACGAGTTAAGGCCTACCAAAGCAATTCTCGCCCCTCTCACTCGACTTTGTGCTGCAGCTGCTATTTTAACTTACTCGAGGCTTTTGTTCTATTTCGTCTTTTTGTTTGTGTGTTTTGTTAAGGCGTCGCGTGATTATACAAATTAGACTTAGCTGCACTAGGCTTTTGTGTGTGTCGAATAAATTAGGATTGGAATTTTCGTGTGATAAAATTTTTTCGTTTGACGTAGAAATTCGATTTTCTATATATTTTTTTATACAATGCGAGAGGCTGGTACAGTTACAGTTTTTCCTTCGAAGTCAACTTTGTGGCCCAAACATAGAAAGAGTGCAAGGGAGACAAAAGAATGACAAGCGAGTGAGGGAGAGTTTAAACCAGTGTTTAACGTAGTTGGCGGCTAGTTATCGACGACGAGCGACGACAACGGGGGAGAACTTTAGGGATATAACAGCGGTGCTCATCTACGTTGCGAACAACATTTTTCACATGAAAAAATAAACTATACGTATACATAATTTTCTACAAGTTAATAGGATATTTCGTTGTGACTCGCTGAGACGAAAATGCCGGTTATCGTAGTTTTCATTGTTCACTTGTGAATGACATAAGATAGGTCGCGCGACTCCCAGTTGAAATTTGCCAACCACTGTTGGCTCCCTTGTTGGCAGCAGCAGCGCTTAATAATGAAATACAGGGATTAGCCGAACACACCTGACTAATTAAGTAGCGACTAATTAGATCATCGTCACCAATACCCTAATCAACGCCTCGTTAGCGTCATTCTATTTGCTTCATGCAAATAATATGCCGCAGATGGATTTTCTCTCCTCTCTACTTCTCTCGATATTGAATATTATTAAGAGAACCCGCAACTGTCGTCGAGTCGGAAGAGAGGAGCAATCTAATGCTTATTGAATTTCAATGGGGACGCAGATTCGCTTTAAAAGCCTACTCGCGCGCTTGTGACTTTCAAGTGGGCATATGTTTTCACAGCAACTGAGAGAAACTTTTTTTCATGTTTAGAGAAAATTTAATCACCTTGGTTACTAGTAATTTTATTCAACTTTCACTCAAATTTTTTTTTATAATAAATAAGTTTAATCGACAAGTATTTCAACGCATATGAACAAATAATAGAAGTCGTCGTTTCTTGTCGAAAAAACTTAAAGTAATGAAGCCACATAAGACCGATTTAGTGTAGAGAATAAAAATGTAACTTCTCGACAAACTTTCCTTTAGATGGGTACCCAAAGTACCAGTTTGATGAGCTATCAATGTAAAACCAGCGTTAAAGTTGTGCGCGTAAGTGGTTTGCCGTGGCGTGCGGACGTTTATTACACCCTCGCACTTCGGCTTGCTTAGCCCCTTTAATGACCGTTGAAATTCAAATTGAGAGCGTTGCGTCGTCAATCTGTGAGATGTCAAGTTTGATTTATGAATGTAAATTTTTCGGGGGATTGTGTTGAATGTTAGTTGTCCTGTGTAAAGATTTTACATCCATACATCATTTGAATCGACGGTGTTTATTATTCATAATCTTTTTTATACTGATTTCAAATTCATCGATCAGCGTTGAGTGATTTTTGTTCTATATTGTCGAATTCTATACTTTTTTCACTAGATGCGCCCAATAATGAACATTACTTACCAACGTAATAATAACAAATTTGAATCTTAAACAAGAAAAAACAAGTAATTTTACTTCTACACTAAAAAATACAAAAGGTAAAATATTAAATAAATGAGGTAAAATAAAGCATGAAGATTCGCGAGATTCCTAATACATTTCCCTTATACTCGATATATGCCACCTATATGTGAATTAGCCGACAGGAGAAGTGGGAGGGGTAAACGTATGGCTTTCATGGTGGCGAGCGATTAATCTTCATACGGCGTTCGTATTAGACTTGGCAGTTGCTAGCTGCCTGGATTCTCCCCTGGGGACGAGCAATAACGTTTCACTCGTATGTCCGAGCCATAGCGAAAAAGAACAAATTTTCTACCACCCCTCACCTGTACACTCCCCATAAAGTATGACGATTATTAATATAAGTAATCAGTTATGTTAACGAGGTCAGTCGATGCCTGCTTGGCTTAATAAATCTAGACAGTTGATCACTTGGCTGTGGATAAGAGGCTACGACCATATTTTTTGGCTATTATTGATCTTTACGTTATTACTGCTGATTTTTCTGAACGTTCATCCATTGGTGTAAAAAATAATTCGAATCGGTGATCTAGTTTAAATTTGGCTTATGTACACCATACTAATTTTCACAAAAGAATTTGCACTATTCCAAACTTTGAAAATCAATAAAACTCTGATTATTCGCTAATTCGCAAAGCCAATATAACTTTTTCCGAATATATCCCTATCTTCTTCTATTAGATCCATAAATCATTGTGGATATTTCCTGCTGTTCAGTACAGACACGCAAAGTGATTTTTTATAAGGCCGTTTTTAGGGAACCTCCAAAATCCTCGACGATACGGGAATCTCTCTCTCTCTCTCTCGCGGCCATATATAAACAAGCATTTTTGGGAGCTTTGCTTAGGAAAGGAGGAGGGACAGCATCTTTTATTTCGAGAAAATTGCCGGAAGGTTAGTTGGGTTATCGTTTGGTCATATCGCAAATGTATAAGCCACTGATAGCTTGCGGCGTCTTAGACAACAAATTCGGCTATTTTTCATTAAATCCAACCAGCAGCAGACTCCCGACGGATATCGCGTGGACCTATGAGGGTGTAATATCACATTGTATTCCTCACATACGCTCCCTTTTCTTTCGTATACGAGTTGATCCTCGCGCTGCCTCGGTGACACGCCAAAACGGAAAAGATTTGTGTGGAAGATCTTGGGCTTTCATTCTTTTTCCACGCCTGTATTGTAACATGTTTAATTTATCAGGCTTTTCATATTTTTCTTCTCTTTCCGATATTAATGATAAACACACGCTGCTGTGACATTTGTTTATTTTTTCAGAAATTAAGATAAAATTTGTGGTGATCAGAAGCTATGAGAAAGACCAGTGCACAATTTCAGGAAGTAGATACCCACTAGTGTCCATTAAACGTTCACGTAATATCTATTGATTCAGTCGCAGTGTGTAAAAGAAACTGCAATATATATATATAGGGATATGCCACAATGCCATATGTTTGTCAACGGCGCAAAGATACAAAAGGCATTATATAATGTCTTCATTCTTATGCGAGTGCGTTTAATGACACGACCGTGACATACGCGTTTATTATTATTGTACCCCATGAATGAAAACGCTGCGAGCGTTTAGTCGCTAATATTTCCCTCACTCCCCTTCCTCTAGGGAAAAAACCAGGGGCCAAACTCATAACCTCGTAAATTGACATTGAGATGATGAAGCGCCCAGCACAAAATGAGAGATCTACGACTTTTTGCCTAATTCTAGCTGTTACAACTTTCGGCCTTCGCTCTTTCTGATTAATAAAGTTGCCGAGGTTACCAAGTTATATACTTGATTTTCTTCGACTGCAGTTGCTGATTAGTTATGTTTTCAAGTTTAATTTTAAGATAAGATGCGTAAATATCAGATTTTGAAGTAAAAATGCTCATTTAATGCAATTGAATTTAATCGTCCGTTCAAAATGATACATCGGGCCTTGAATTTGATTAAAAAATCCCTGATAAATATTGAAGCTCCCAAACATTTTCTCTAGCTGAAATTACCTGTTCGCTTCAGATAGCCCAGCAATGCCAAACACTTGGAATTATCCCATTCCGTTAGAGCGAAATAGCGAGCGATAAAAATAACTCGAATGCAAGCCAGCATGCAGTAGTAGCAGAATCTATAGGGCGATATAGCTGCTATGCGCCGCAGAAGTCCTTATTGATTTTCACGGCCGATAAGTCGACGGTCGCTGTGGGCAGGTCTCAGATGGCTCGCTGCAGAACAGAAGAGAGAGTCAGGGGGCAGTTAGTCGCTATTTTTCTATCTTCGGAAAATAAATATCGTTGAATTATGGCCGCGAGGAAAACAGAAAAGAGGGCTAAGCAGCGGCACATAAAACACGCCTTCGCGTATTTATCAAAATATTGTGTTAACTTTTCCGCGTATAAGACGTTAGCCAGCTGAGCTGAGAGGTGTAGCGTGAATTGCGGCGACGGCCAAGTGGAGAGATTTATAGGAGCGTATGACGAAGAAAAGAAAAGCTTGACCCTGGCTAGTTCAATCTTTCCGCGGTATTAGTTATGCCGTCTTGCCTCTTCCATCCCCTTGAATGCCGAGGCTCCTTCGGAGCTTCACTAATTTAGCGCCTTGCGCAAATAAATGTGTCGGGATAAATTAATAGATGTACTGACGATCCACTTGGACGCGGCTTCAGAGTCCATTTGCAATAAAAATACCAATTTTATTATCGCGCCTAAGCTTTCACCTTAGTAATGAGAACTTGAATGCACGGTAGGGGAAATAAGAACGTTAGCGCGAGCTATACAAAATATATTCTTTGAAAATGAAGACTGTCCGCCAAAGCAACCGGTTGCCCAGTTGGCTGATGATTATTTTGCGATCTGATCCGTCAGCCACAATAGCTTAAATGAAAACTAATCTCGTTAGCCGTCAACAGGAAATATGCTAAAAAGGGAGCTTATATTGTTTTCCCAGTAACTATTCAATGGAGAAAAGGGGGTTCTATGACCACAGCGCCGTTGATTTGGATTCGATACCGAATCATTCAGTTAAAAAGGGACGAACGCGCTCTCTCTCTCTCTTTCTCTCTCTCTCTCTCTCTCTCAATACACACAACCAGTTCACCCTTTTTCCGAACTTTTCCTTATATATATATAATTCTTCCCTTCTTGGCAAACAAGCCACGCGCCGTAATAATAATCCAGAGGAGCTGCCTTGCTGCCTTTCCCCTTTGGACTTGTTGGGGAGATACCCTTAATGAAAGACTCGATCAAACTCTCGCGCGAGCGCCAAAACTCTTAATCCGCCAGGGATGATGAGAGACTGACCAACACCTTTTGCAGGTTATTTCGATGTGTGAGCGCCCAAATAATCCCACAGGACTATTGCACTTGACGTGGACCTTTTGTGTTCGTTAGTATCGGGATTTGTTACGGATTTCAACTCGATCAACTTCGTTATTATATCCTGATCCCTGCACTGTCGAATTTTTGAAAAATTTATTTTCATTTATATCAAGTTTTTAGTTTTTATTCTACTAATTGTTCAAGATACGTTTGGTCTAATGTACATATATTTCCTTTTGTCTGTTGGCAGGTGCGAATCGAGTCAGGTCGTCAGAATCACTGGCGGCAGACATGTTTGAACAGCACCAAGGTACCCACATCCTGCAGGTAAGAGATGCGAAAAGGATCTCATTAATAATTCAAAAACCCTCGAATATATTCTATTGTCAGTCGACGCGATGCATCTATATTGTTCGTAGTGCAGTTTTGACTGGAACTGAGACGACAGATTGAACGTGCGCGATAATACACACTTTCACGTTTTCAAAATGTCTTTATTGAACTTCCTCAATTGTTCAAATTTAACTTGTATGTATTTTATACACTGCGAATTTCAATGGTAATTCGAAAAACTATTATGCTTTTCGTAATCATTAAAATTCAAAGAATGACTTCCCGACCACAATATGTTTGTGTATCTCTCGCAGAAGGATATAAAATAAACACGAAAGCAGCCGTAAAAGTAAAATTAAGCTCGTAAAAGTGGAACGAGCGCCAACCGATACGTATATATATAAGCACAGTATTGTAAAACGTTATATATCTTACTTTTTGGATTTGTGTATTTCAGTCGCTGGACGGTTTCGCAGTTGCTGTCGCGGCTGATGGACGGTTTCTGTACATTTCCGAGACCGTTTCCATTTACCTTGGACTCTCCCAGGTGAACATCAAAATGTCTTGTTTTTTTCTTTCTTCGCGTTTTTCCTGAAATGGCTACGAAAGGAAACGGTTCTAAATAACCTTGTTCGAGTAGTTAGGTACTAAAATTTCGAATTAATGCATTGGCAAAAGAAAAACTCGTATTACTTCGAACGATCATACAGTTGAAAAAGTTTCTCTAGAAAAAATTAATACAATTTTCTTGTCAAAAAGAAATAATAAGCCATCTTTTATTTTCTCGATTCGTTTAATCAACGCAATGTAGACCTGCCGAACTAGAAAAGAAAAGATAAAAATTCTGGAAAGATGCATTGACGGTTGGTAGAAAAAACTACCTCGTCGACTGGTGAGGTTTGGTAACGAAGCAGCATAGCAGCAGATTCGCTGCACGTAAAATGGGAGGGGGTGGCAATCATACGTGTACACGCAGTAGCAGAAACTCCCTGAAAAGACGAAGGTGATGAGAAGTAGCAGCAGCAGAGGCAGGAGAGGTCAAGGGAGAGAAACTTGGATCGAGGCTTGTGCGCGGCGGCCATACTGGAAGAGTAGCAACAGTAGTAGCGAAAGAGGAGGGAGTGAGGGAGGAGAGAGAGAGAGAGAGTTTGAGTGTGGGGGTGGGCGCTCTCGCAATGCCGCTCACGTAGTCTCTGCACGGCGGCGTGTTCGCCATTCCTAATGCAGACGAACGCTGGACCCCGCTCTCTCTCTCTCTCTCTCTCTCTCTCCCTCACTCACTCTCTGGATATATACCAGAGCGAGAGAGAGACGCAGAGACAGATATAGAAAGCAAGGGGAGGCGGTGGCTGCTGCTGGTACCAGCACCGCGCGAGCAATCAATAGGGTGTTTCGCCGATTCTGGAAACTGCTAGCTCCAACGTCGCAAACATGGCGGCGTAACGCGGCCTCGATAGTTTTCTCAATTTTCTTTAAAAAAGGAATATGAGTAGGGAGAAAGGCGACGGTTAATTACCTAACAGCCGATTTAGAATCACTATGAGAATGGATATTTCATTAAGTAAAATTTCTATTGGAATTATTCAAAGGTGAGGATTGTTATTATGCCCTCAACTTTCAATCACTTGCCTCCAATAGAATTTTCACTGATGTAGATAAAAGTCGAGTCGAATGGATATGAGTTTCACAAGAAAGGTTAACAACGACAGTTATATAGTGTTAACGATTTGTCATTCACAGCGCGAAAGCAACGCTCAAAGAAGATCGACACCTCGTGGTCGTGTCCTAGGAATCGTTTCATCGCTCCGGTGTCTCATGTTTCTATTGTCTACACTTTCGCGTTTGATTTTTTTTCTCTCTTGAACAAACGATCGTTGGCACATGCCCGTGTCGAGGTATAGTTTTGTAGGCCATCATCTGAATTATACACACGATGCGAATCGCGATTATTTATTCGGTTACTCATGCATGTTCTAATCGGAGTTGCTAATGAAGCTTGTGTCTAAATACGGATTCAATGAAACGTCAATTTAGTAGCACATCACGGATGGCTAACGAGAATGCCAAAGATCGCAAAGATAAGCTTTGCGAGAAGCTTTCAAGTAGTGTATAAAAGAACGGTCGTTTCCACCTTCAGAGTGCCTCATAACCGCCTAAATAGCCGTGGAGAGCTTTATACTAGCGCTGTAAAAAGGGCTTAAAGCCTTTTTACCAAGCGTCTAAAAACCACCTTTAGAAGAAGCTCTTTCTTTTACATATTAAATATAACTATCATGAAGACAATGTACTGCGAATTGTAATATTAACGCTATAATTTTGAATTTGGAGTAAACCTATAAAATCACTGAAACCTTCACCAGGCATTTCAGTAGCCTTAACCGCAAAAACTATGCAGATTCTTGTACGTGCCAATAATCAAAAGTTAGAATCTAAGAGTTTATTACAGTCCGACGGTCGGTACGCGTTTCGCGCGCGGCGCCATCCGGACCTCGACCATATAACGTTGAGCAACATAATTCGGTAGCGATTTCAAACCACAAGAGAGGAGAGAGAGAGAGCTCGTGGCATAAATTAGAAAAGACAGCGCGATAAAAGTATTGTTTTCTTGGCAGAGTTTCTCAGAATTTCTTGCGTCAATCGAGTCCAGATCATATAACAGACGAAGGCTTTTTCCTTGTCCGTCTAGTTTGACTTGGTAAATAGAGAATTTCGAGCGTTACGAATTTGAAATAAAAAGTCTGGATTTAGAATAATTAATTATTATCGTCAAACATATTTTTTCTTTTCGAGGACGTTGATAATGTTGGAAAAGGCCATTTTCTTGCCACTAACACAGGATATTTACTTCTAACTTGTTCATACGAATCGAGCGATGAATTCGGAAACGCAATAAACTTCTCGCACTGAAGTTATCAAGGTTTACGCGATGTACAAGCGAACGTTCAGAAGGATTAATATTCTTCGTTGCGCAATATATCTGTCGGATTTTCATTAATTCGATTTATAGGATATGCCAAGTGCGTATTTCCGTTCCGAGGAATCGATCCTATTCGTATATGTACGAGGTCACGAAATTCATAGAGATTCGAACAGCAAACCACTTGGATATGTAGGAGCGTGCGATGTGTATAACCGAAGGCGAAATAAGCGTTTTTAACCGGTTTTACTTAGAAATTGACGTTTGTTCAATGGTCTAATTACAGGTGGAGATGACAGGCTCAAGTATATTCGACTACGTTCATCAACACGATCACGCAGAAGTTGCAGAACAATTGGGTCTTGGCTTAACGTCGTCGTCGTCGGGGCCACATTCGTCGAGTTCGGGACTTGCTTCACCAAGTAGCGGAGCGTCCGAAGATCATGGTTCGTCATCAACTGCGAATCCTGATGGTATTTTTTTGGTTGCTTTCATTTCCAGTAAGACAAACGCTAAAGTCGCCCGCAGGCTATTACCATTAAAAGATGATTCTCTTTTTTCGGTTATCCGTTATCTCTAAGAGAACTTAGTTTCTGGATGATTGAATTCTAGAGAGAAGAGAACTTTTTTTCTCGTGAAAAAAATGCTTTCCTGCGGTGGCAGCTAGAAATTTTACGTTGAACCTAGTGAAAAGTTGTCGAGATTTATTACTGGAAATATCGGCTTTGAATTTTTGCAGAAACCAACGCACGTTTGCACTTTCTGTGGAAATGCCAAGCCTTCTTTCTCTGAGTAAATCGATTATCAATGTAGTTTCCTTGATCTAGCAGTCGAGACGAGAAAGTAAGAGAGGCAGGCGTGGCTCGTTCCCGGTGGCGGTCACTTGTGCTCCGCATCCCGCCGCAACGCAAGCACGAAAGCGTGCGCGCGAACAAACGCGAGAGCACGCATGAAAAGAGAGAGAGAGATAGAGAGAAGGAGGTAGGAGTGCAGCAGGAGCGCACGTGAGGTTGCGCGTTCGGCAAGGCGGCAAGGTCGAGGGGTGTGTTGGCGTGTGCTCGTCGTCGCTGGAAAAAGCCGCTGTAGGAGGGGTGTTGCTCCCCGAGACACGTCGCAGCGACGTGCGATCAGTCTGAGCTCGCTGGAAATGGGGCTCTTTCGTTTTCGGTCACGCGCCGCTGACTGATCGCGCTGATCGCGCCGCTCCTGGTGGCGGCGGTGAACGTGTAACCTGAAAAGCGTGACCAGGGGATAGCAGCGCCAGTAGCGGCGATGATCACGTGGTTGCGCGAGCAGCGCAGACGTGCTACTTGTGCTTCTGGACGTGCACCACGTGACGGGGGTTGGAAAGAGGTTTTCTGTGTGGAACCTTATATTCGGTCTGGTTCACGGTCGCCACGACGCGCGGACTCTGCGCCGCCGTATGCAGCTCCCTCCCCACGATCCTCACTCTCTCTCTCTCTCTCTCTCTCTCTCTCTCTCTCTCTCTCTCCAATTGTTATTCCGCGCGGCCAGAGCTCTCCTCGCTGCTCCAGCGAGCTTTGGCACGTACGCTACGTTACCCACCGATCCCCCTACACTCTCTCCCGACGTACGTGGGCATCCGCGACGCTCGACTCTCTCCGTTCCATGCCCGACGACCGCGAAAACTCACCACGTATGCGCGACGTGTGCCCGCAACCGTGTATTGTATTGCGTACCACGCGGACCAAAGACTCTCTTCGTTCATTGCCCGATATCCGACGGCGAAATTGAACGAGCGAGGTCGAGAGATACATGCGCGCTCGCCTGGAGCTTTGTCAATGGGTCTCGCTACGTGATGAGAGAATGCCAGATCCAGATGTTTTTTCACTCGCGCCACGTCTGACGATACGTGGCTCTGTTCCACTGCAAAACCGCCTGTTCTTTTGCCATTGATTTTTCACCCTCGTCGCGTAAACCTATGGAGCTAGGTCAAGGAAACTCGCTGCAATTTTCTGTTGTACCGCCGCTGTACCAACTCCCAGGGAATAACCAAACGATTGTTCCTTTTGCTTGCAGTGTCGTCGGTGATGGCACTGACGTCGACTGGTCTCTACAAGGGCTACGACCGAGCCTTCTGCGTGCGGATGAAGTCGACACTTACGAAGCGAGGCTGCCACTTCAAGTCTTCCGGCTACCGTGTAAGTCGCGCGCGGGTTGACCACTTATTACCGAGCGATGTGTTTGCACTTTATAATGTTTGCTTGACGACTATATTGCCACTTGGAGTTCAAGTTGACTGAAAGTTCTCTTCGATCGGTTGACATTTACAATTGAAATAATCGTTTTTCAATTCAAGTACTGCGCTGATGTTTCTTCAAATCCCTTGGAATCGAACGAGATTTTCATTGAGCATTTTGACAATGAACAGGTTGTATTGCTGCTATGTCGATTAAGGCCACAATACACATTCAGCCACACCAGGAAATCCTCGCCGCCGCTCGTAGGGATGGTCGGTTTGGCGATTGCGCTTCCGCCGCCCAGCGTACACGAAATTAGGCTCGAGGCTGATATGTTTGTCACGCGCATCAATTTCGACTTCCGGATAGCACACTGCGAACCAAAGTGAGTATATATTCCATCGATGTAGTCAATGCACGCCCTCCAATAGGCTGTATCCTGACGACTGATCGACGATTGTGCACGCGTGCGTTTAGGGTGTCCGAGCTGCTGGACTACACAGCGGACGAATTGACGGGGAAGAATCTCTACACCCTGTGCCACGGCGAGGACGCGAATCGCCTTCGCAAGTCACACATGGACCGTAAGTATACTTGTGAGACTTGAAAACTCTTTTAGAAATCTGATATATGTGCATCGATTGGAAGCTGCGAGGCAAAAGCGTGCGATATCGCTAAGCGTTTCCCTCGTAAAACTGTGCGCGCCTATATACATAGGCTGGGGAGAGTTTTGCATTTTACCTGCCGCATTGGCGCGCATGTGTAAAACGCAGCAGTGCCGCGCCGTCGTCGACGTTTGGCGTCGCGTCGGGATTAGGTAGTTGGTATGCAGAGTTCGTCGAGCGTACGCCGGATGCGGCATCTCCAGCAAGTTGTTACCCTCCTTCGCCTCCTCCTACCACTACTCTTTCAGTCGCACACTGCGAGCACGCGCGCGCGCCTGTGTGTGCACAAGAGAGCGGCGGCGGCGGCGGCGGCGGCGGCGGCGGCGGCGGCGACACAGACAAAAAAACGATTGCGACATAGAAAGCTTTTACTACGCGTGATCGCGTAGGTTCGACGTTGAAATTTCATTGCGATTCAGAGTGAGAGTCCTCTCTAATGAAATGAAATCGGCGACGGTGAAAATCGGGAAATAATATTGTACAGCTTCGATTGCGTATAACAATGAAGGCGACGAGAGCCATTGCAGTTCGAAAGGTGGAAGGCGGTTCGAGTGGCTATATCACTATACTTGGGCGCGGTGATGCGACGATAAATGGTGGGGGTAAAAGGAAAGGTGGGCTCTTCTCGGCTTCTCCCGACATCGGAGTTTCTCATCCCTTTTTCTGCTACCTCTCTCCTACCTCGCACCAATCCGTCTTTGTCTCTATACATACCTATACCATCACACACACGTGAATGTCGCGCCCGCACATCCTACTCACTCGGCGAGAGTTACGCCCTTTTTCCCTACCTTACCTTCTTCCAGCTAGCTTCACGCTAATAATGTTGATTTTTCGCTATTTTTGCAACCAATTTTTCGGAGATCGTGAATGATACGACGTACTCTTGAAAATCCAAATTTATTTTTATACAAGTCCTTTTTTAAACTAACAGATGCATCTATCTAACTTACTGCAGTGCTTACTGGAATTTCGTTTTCTAGTGATTCACAAAGGACAAGTACTCACACACTACTACCGACTGATGAACAAAAGCGGCGGTTACACGTGGTTACAGACCTGCGCGACTGTCGTCTGCAACTCCAAAAATGCCGAAGAGCAGAATATCATTTGTGTCAACTACGTTATTAGGTAGGTAAAACAAAATTTCCAGGTATTTCAATTTAGCCTCTTTGAAATTCATGTTTTTATTGCCTCTTGCAGTGGACGCGAATACGCGAACTTGATCATGGATTGCTGCCAACTCGAGGACGGCGTTACGGGTGTCAAACGAGAAGATGCCACGGGTAACGATCCTGAAAATGGTTCACCAGACGCCGATAGAGGGGGTAAGATAATTATTTTTATCTTTATATTTTGTAAGCATCTATTCCCTTGATAGCTACCAATGGATTTCTTGAATGAATTTACTAAAGGGTCGGTACTTGGTTGCTTTACTTTTAAAATAACTAGTTGAAAAAATGATTACTAAAATGTAACATAATAGTATTATACAAGCATACGATAACGGTATAATCGAATTACATAGTATTGTAAAAAATTTTTCGTTAAGGTATATTATTTCGAAGTAAAAGAAAAGAGAAGCCAAAAACAAAAAAAATCGAGCGTTTCTAAAGCGTGCAAGATACTAAACGAGTCGGTCGCGACGCTTGAATTGCGCCGCGTTTTTCAAGTCATCGACACCACGGATAAGAAAAGCCGCCGGCTTTGAAAAAGAAGAAGAAGAAGCGACAGCACCAACAGCACTGACTCAACGACAATGAAAAGTCGCCAGTTCGCTGCTCGTCGTACGCGTTATTAACATATGAAGGCCGCGCGGCACATCTTCTCGAATCATTTAACCTGCATCGACGGCGACGATATTTTTCTACTCTAGATTTTTTTCTCGAAGTAGCGCTCACACATTACATTAAGTCGGCTTTGCGCCTTTCTATTTGAAAGTTAAAAGTCTTGCGGAACGATGGCATTTGGAGAGACTGATTGCTCTTCTTTCATGAAAAGACGCGGGTATGAGTGTCAGCGATTTTTCAAGATCTATTTTCTACCGAAATTCGTTCCTGCTTTCAATAGAATTCCTAGCAGTAAGCAATATTGATGCGCCTTTCGAACGTCGACCTCATTTCGTTAAAGGATTCTTCTAACAAATAAATAAACGTATTGTTAACCGAAAAATAATTAGAACAATAGTACCAGCACCAATCAGCAAGAAATTACTTTTGTTTCCAAAAGGTAGGAGTAGCGGAGGACCGACGAATCCACACTCAGACCACCCGCATCGATCACCTCGTGACGACCGTGACGACGCGCGAGGATCCGAAACGGACGTAGCTGGTCGAGGCGTACGGCACCACGATAACGTGGTCACACAATTACAACAAGAACCTCAAACGACGACGGCAAAATTGCGAGGACGTAAACGAAAACTCGCTGTAGCCGCTGCCGTTGCTATTGTCAACGACGTTGAAGTTGGCTCCGACGACGAGGATGACGAAGATGAAACAGGCATAAAGAACGGTCGTAGTCACGCGTTAAGTCCAGCGTCGTCGAATCATTCGGTGCCGACTAATGACCAATTGATGAGGACTGGTAGTCCGAAGGTAGATCTGTCATATACTTTAACCATTTAATTTTTTTCAAACAATGTCTTGCGAAACTAACATATAAAATGAATATTCTACAGGTGCGTAGAACCGAAGACCTAAGCGAATCGCATCACGGCGCTTCGACAAGTGGCACTGGCACATCGGTGAAAGACCTCGAGCAAGCCATGTCGAAACATCTACCTGGGGCCGGTTTGAACAAAGCCGATTCTCCGGCTATCCATCAACCAACGGATTTCAGTACAGACGCACTGCTCAAGCAGCAGCAGCAAAAGTCCACGATACAATGGATCGGCGCACACCATCACCTCGGGCATCTGAGTCCACAGCAATCCTCTACATTACCAGCATCCGCTTTACTCCGACAATTGTATGCCAATCGCGAGAGCGTGATTCGAGCGAACGTACATGGAATTACGTCTGGTAGTGGTCCAGGCTCGCGCGCACCATCGGCTGGCGGATACTACCCGGACAACCCACAAGCTGGTCCTTTGCCAACGCCTCCAGGTTCCGAAGGTTCTTCAACGTACGGGGATCATCAGTTCGTTCTGTCGGCGCATAATCAAAAGGTCACGGGTAGCGGTGCTGACGCTTTCACCAGTCTCGTTTCATCGTATACATCACCAGCGGGTTACGGTGTAGATTACCATTCGGCAATGACACCACCGTCGTCCGTATCACCGCGAGACAAACAACAGCAGCAGCAACAGGTACAACAGCAGCAGCAGCAACAAGCTCAACTGAACACTTACGATGCGGTTTATGGCGATCCTGTGATGAGACACCAGTACGAACCTGCGCAGCCATTACCACTTAAGCCACAAGTCTACTCGGCTGTACCTCTTGATGCTTATGCTACTGCAAGTCTCACCGAACAGTCGCAGTTCTATCATCATCCAGCTGCTAGTGCGGGTTTCCATTTGTATCATCCTACGGCTAATAAAACTGCTACCAATGGTTGGTACAGTTCGGCATCCTAGTGGCAAGGTCTTCATGGACGCTGTTAAGAATATACTTAAAGAGATTTTTTATTTCTTCTTACTCCATCTTTTTCTCTCGTCGTGCGTGGCGAGTTGCCAAAGTCAGGGTGCTGCTGGATCTTATTACTTATATATACATACGAGTGCATATCAATTCGGCGTGTGACTGTGTGGGAAAATTTTGGTAGCGAATATGTATGTTTATGAGTTTTTTTTTTTTTTTTCTTGATGTTACCAAAATTTTCTTGCTACCCCGCAATCATGTAATATATATTTAATGAATAATGGCTATTTGAGTCTAAAATTAAAAAATAAGGACTCGAGCGAATCTCAAAGGTTGACATAATACGAGTCCAATATTGACAAAGTCTTGTGATTTGTAGGTTTGGGACGATTGTGCATTAATTGTTTTCTTTTTCTTGATTCTTACAATGGATGAATAAATCCATACAAGTGAAATTTCCTGTGTAACATCAAAATTTGTTTACGTAATTTGACGTATCAGGGATGGACGTTTAATGCTCGAATCTTTTTTATTACGTATTGCAATGTTTACTTAGATCAATTTGTTAATTATATAAATTATTGATTATTTGTTATCAACATTAGTAGTTAAAATTAACCAATTCAGATTTGTATATAATATGAAAAAAAGAGTTTTGGTATTTTATACAATGTACTTTTTAATTTAGGCATTGACAATTCCATCCCTCTAATCGAATTGAAAAGTTGCTAAATTATTAAATTTATTTGAAGACAAATTACTACATATTTTCTTCTAAACATTCTCGTGTAATAATTTTTTATTTGCATTTTTTAGTTTATATTGTTAAATCAAATTGAATTGTTATCGTCTATATGTAATGAAATTTAATAATTTCGGAATTCGAAGGTAATGAATCTCAATTTGAATCAGTATTTTTCGTCTCGATCAATCTGTTTATCAAGGTACTATATTTTATTATAATGATTATAACAATGTAAATTGTTTATATTTTACTGCTCCAAAAGCAAACTTTTTCATCTGGCAATCATTGACGCTGTCATTGATCAAATTGGATTGTGTACATAATTAAGTAAAATATCAGCATATAAATAAAGAGATAATCTTAATAAATGGTCATCTATTAAAACCTTATACTTCTTGTGACAGTAAAAGACTCTCTCCTATAAAGATGTACAAAATTGGAATATTTATCAACATCACTGAGAAGAAGCTGAAGCGAATGCGTACATGAAATAATATCCTCCGTGCCATTGAAATTCGTACACTCACATGCATAAATCACATTCTGAAGAATGATTTCATAATTCATAGAGTAACAAAAGTGTGATTGATGAAGTAAAAAGCCATAAAAGAAAAAAGTTGCATTACGTTGTTGGTGCGATCGATAGCGCTGAATTTCAAGAAAAAGCAAGCAGGGAAAGCAAAAATAATATTCCTAGTTAGATATTTAAAACAGCCCATAGCTTTAACTCGAAGACTATATATACATATTATACATTAAGTGCAATATGTGAAAAACGAAGGAACTTTGATAAAAATTTGAAAAAGTTCACAACGATGAAGAGCCGGTATTATGTAGTCCTAACGTTATATTACAAATATGTCGCTATTATTATTGCTCAATAATAAAGAGATTGCGAATAATTCGACGTGTCGTTTCGGATCACGCCTTTACGGCTATATACATATTGTAAGTAAATGCTAAACATTAACGTCTTACGCATTACATACCTTGATAGTCGATTATGAAATTTCATCTATTTTCTTTCTTCTCAGTTACATAATACTGCGAAGAGGAAGAAAGGAATAACAAAATTCATAGAACATTTAGCGAACGTGGGCGGCGTGTAATATAGTAAAGATGAATTATATATTATAAATATTAAATACAAACTATGTAAACATACATTTCGATTGAGTGGATGAATGTATAGCGAAGTAAAAATGGTAGATATTAAGAATTGAGTTGAAAACTTGGATCGATTATAAAAATGAAACACAAAACAAGTTAAACCCTAGATGTGTTATCGCATTCATTTGTTAACTTAGCTGTACAGATTTATGTTATGAGGACGTTAATTAACGGAATAAGCAAACGACAAATCTTAAACTTATACACAAGTCATTGTTACAAGTATCTCCGTATGTTCCATTTGTTGATTCATTTCATAGTAAAAGTAGTTGACATAATGAAAACTAGATTTTGAATCATGTTGGAATATAGGATTCAAACGATTATAAATCATTCCGAGGAAACTTTTAAATGATTTACAGTTTTTCGCAGATAAAAATTAATTTTGTGATGTTCGGGATTATTTCAGTTGGAATAATTGTATACTTTGTCTACGCGGTGACACATAGTTGTAATTGTAAGATGAAAATTTTCAGTTGTAAATTTGTCAATCTCGCAAACCAACTTGAAAAGTTACAATCAAGTTGAAGCGATAACGTTTGTGCTAAATAATGTTGAACCGGTGACTATACTTAATCTCTCCTCAAGGAGCAGCCTATCGTTTGTTTTCTTTTGTAACGCATGAAAATTAATAATATACATGGATTTTTACAAAATAAAACAGTATTCTATGTAATTTTTTTATCTCCACGCCCAAATATAAATAGGTGCCTGAAAAATTCTTCAAAATAAACTCATAATTTATAAACTCAACGTTTTTTAATTAATCTTAAAAGTAACGCACAATAATTATCCACAGATTTTTAAATAAAAGAGAAAATCCATGCATCCATTGATTTTTAAATTTTGAAACAGTTTTTGGATAGAAATAATTGTACTTAATAAGCGAAATCCTATTTTCTTAGTAAATTGTAATCCTGAATTAAAATATAATTAAAAAATGTAAATTAAACAATTACAACCTATATCTAAATAGTTAAGAAAAGAAAATTAATGAACCATTGTCGAACTATACTATCCTTTCAATATTTCAAAACATTATTATATAGTAGAAAACATCGGCAAGTCAGAACTGAGAAGGCATTATTCCACTGCAGGTACAGGTACAGTGCTCTGATGATACTTACCAACAGCCGAACTCAAAACAGGAATCTGCTTTCTCGTTAAAGTGAGTGCGTCAAAATTCGGTAAATAGCCCTTAAGATATTATTTTTCCAACCGAAAATTGATTACATTCGATTGATAAATATCAATAAGATTGAGAAAAACTATTAATATCGCTACAGTAAAATAGTGTCTATGATATTTTTTTAGTCAGCTCTAAGCAACGAAACCTATTATTTTATATATTTGTAAAGTGGAATTATTAAAATTACTTATGTTAATGTATATTACATTCTGTAAAAAATATTAGCAAGCAATACATATTCACTATTTAAAAAAATTTAAATAATTTCGAAATATTCAAAAGCAAAAATAATGCAAAAAATATGAATTTCGATTGCTATTTCAAATGATATATTTTTAGAATCATTTGAAACATATTCATTCTTTTCAATTTACTCACTAAACTTCATATGTAATTAGCAAATGTTTTTAATACATCACGTCAAATTAAAACTTTATAATATTTTTCTTAAATGTCTACTACAAAGACATCTTTCTAAAACTAGTTTTGAAAGAGAAATAAATTAAACTCCTTTTTGTATTTTTATCTTTGCCTGTTTTCGACAGCTGCAAGATATTAGACCCTAACGCTGACAAATGCTTGACACTTGATGGATTTGTCGCGAGGATTTTCGCTTTATACGCGGACTTACTTTGTATTGGACTTGAATAGAGCTATCAATGGATTTGTAGAATGTGTCTTCGTGCAGCTGAATGCAGTTTAACCCTTACAATATGGTAGTGTATCTATCGTTCATGCATTGTATCCACATTTCTGAATAATTATTATCATAGAAAATCTTAAACAAGTCACTGTAAGAAATATTTTTAATTGGTGTATAACTTTTTTCTAAATAAAACTTATTTCTAAATAGATTGATAATTATAATGTACGATATTACAAGAATCTGTTAGTTTTAAATGATATATTGTGATGAAGTCAACGAGCATATTGAATAACTTTACAGCGTTACGTTTTTTGTCAAGAATGTAAAAATCATTCAATTCACGTTTAGGCTTTGAGAATAATGATATAAAACATTATCGAACGACGGCAAACTTTTTAACTAAATTTGGCTGGAAGGATCTTAAGTAGAAAAACTATTTTTCCAGAGAGCATCATCAAACACAACTTTACAGTAATAAATTTTCATCAACAATTGAATACTAGTACTTTCTCAATTTTTTTATAAATAAATCTTTAATGGAAATCTGAAATAAGACGTCGTACCAATATTTAAATCCAGAAATACTACGAAACATTCAGAGATTGAAAGAATAATGGCTAAAATAGTATCATAAAAAAAGCTAAAACGTCCAATGAATAACGACTTCCTCAAAATTCATTCCATACAACTAAGTTTTTCGCGTCACCCAACAAGTCATCCAAATGACATGTACACAAAAAATTCAGCTATTCAGTAACATACTAAAGCCTCTGCTAACTCAATATACATACACAGAGAAATTTCAGGATAGAGATTTCAAAACATTTTCTCGAAAACCATTGATCCCTTCAGAACGCGGACACTTTGCGCCCGGGATGTTATAAAGAATAGCTTCGTAGAATAATAAATCCACGCACGAGAATGGGGAATAGAGACTCACAGGGATTTCGGCGCTTGAATAAGACGTGAGCTGCTGGAGGAAAACGAATAGATTACACCTATATGTATATTCTCGGTTGCTCGCGGGGGTAAACGATATCCCATTAGTGAGTCTTGGGCGTACCCCAGGGGCGAAATCAATTTTCCTTTAAGAGACCGTTAAATTCTGCGGGGAGTGCAGCTGTTTTTTTTTTCTGGCCGCCTTTCTTTCAGTTGTGCTGGCGCTCCTATTCTCTTCAATACGGACCCTTGGACTTATAAAAGAAACTCTCGCGCGCGCAAAGAAAGAAAAGCGTAAGAGAGGACTGATGCCTCAATTCATTGGTAGGCCGCATCGTGGGCCACGCGTCACAAATCCGCTAACCGCAAAGTCAAACCTGGGAAGATCCATAGACATAATGGGCAAAAAAATTAATGTCTGGCGAGAAAATTAGTGAAAGCTTGCTCAAAACTACTGAAGTCTTCGAATTTGTTGTAACAATTGCTGGTTGTTTCTCGAAACACCAAGAAACCGACTTACTAATTGTTAAAATTGTCTTATTCGAGAACAAGTGCAGCGAGAATGGAATTCTGTAGTGAAAATACTAGTTACATTAAATTACAAAAATTTATGCGTGGAGGGATTGGCGGAACTTATAAAAGTATAATTAAATTTAAAAAGGCGGGGATTGAGATACTTATTGACAATAAATTAAGTTATAAACAGTACAAAAGGTCGGTAAGAACTACATCTACCGATCCGACATTATAATAAAATTTGAAGAAAAGAAAATGCTTTGAAAAGACTATGCTGCGTCGTTACATACAATGTATTCAAATAGTTACGCATCCACGCATAAATTCAAGAAGATTTTTCAGGATAATCACATTTATTTCTCCTAATCTCCAAACTTATAGTTAGAAAAACTAATATCGTAGGACTAGAAAAACCAAAGCGGCTTAAAAAAATAAAAAAAAAGATAACGAAAACCACCGAAAACTAATTGACGAAACACTAAGGAGCAGTCAGATAAGCATGAATGAGGAATGCACTTCTCATAGCTTTTCCATGCTTATAGAGACGTCTATCTATGCATGGTATAGCTTGAGGGACG